CTTTTTTTCTCCACCTACTACTACGTCGTATATACACTGTCATGAAAACTTCTAGAATTATACACGCAACTCCCTGCTCGGTGAAGTATTTTGCAACGAGAAAGTAGCGGTAGATTTGCTTTTTAAATGCGGGTTAGAATATACATATAGCGGAAGTATCGAACGAGACAGTGCGAATTCGCGGTTGACGATGAAAAGCGACAGCCAACTACCACTGTACAGCTGTACTATACAAAATACTACTACTATTAATACTACTACTTAGTACTACTACTATGTTATTACCGTTACTACGATTACTAGTATTACACCATCAACACTACTAATACTGTTTTGTTCTTTACAATTGGTCAAGTGCAAAAGTATTGGGAAACAATATTATTCGAATGTTGTTCAAAAGATTGCATTAAGATTACATTTAAAGTAGCATTTAAGAATGCTTAGAATAAAGTAACTCTGTTAAAAGGCAATCGATTTCCCTAAATTTTTGTACAGATAACTAGAATACGACACTGCTCACTAATTACTTACTTATGCGACAAAGACACTGACTATCACAAACACTTAATTGCTGGTGCTGCTATTGCTGCTGCTGCTGTCAGTACACGAATATTCGATATCCGAGAACGCTGTTATCGAATCAAATCTGTACAGAGCATCATGCGCGGGATCAAGTTGACTCGTTTATAACGCCCTGTTTTGTTTCTTCGTCCCTTTGTGTGTCTACGATATTTTTCTCCTTTTCGCCCTTCTACGGTCTTTCTACTTACTAATAACCCTTTCTTCGTGTGTCCATTTCTCTCATTTTCTCTTTATATATCTATATATATATATCTTTATTTCCCTATTTCTCGACAGCCTCCTCTCTTTTTCTATACACAGCGATAAAGTACTCGAACCGTAGACGTGTATCTCGTGTATATATGTATGCATCTCGACTAGACGCATACGTATGTATTTTGTCAGTTTCTCTCTCTCTGTCTCTCTCTCTTTCTCTCTCTCTCTCTCTCTTTCTCTTCCTTACTTCTCACAAATACACACGTTCTTTCTTGGATTGTGTATCTTTTTTTACTTCGTAGCCAAACACGAAGCTTCTAGCTGTGTCGCTTTATCAGTCAACGTGTAATACGTACATATTGTTTATATATCTATTCATATATATGAATATACGTATCGAATCTATAGATAATGTTATATACATATATCACGTATGTGTATGTATATAAAACCTATGTACCTCATATTCTTTAGTGTACAAAACCCAAAACAAGTACTTAATGAAGCTCCCTGTCTATCTTCTTCTTCTCACCTTCTGTGTATATATATATATGTATATATGTACTTTACACGTACACATGTCTGTATGTACATACATATATGTATACACGTACGTATATTCTAACTCTGTTTTTGATTTCTTTTTACCTTGATTTATACCCTTCTGCATCAAATGTAGGTACTTTTTGTCGACCGTCGTCTTACCAAGCAGGTGTTATATTGTCCTCCGCTTTTTATCTGCGAGTTTACGGACGCCGTCGTGTACATACTATTATTATGATTATTATTATTATTATTATTATTATTATTATTATTATTATTTTTATTATTATCATTAATATCATTATTATTATTACCATCATCATCATTATTATTATTATTATTATTATAATTACTATCGCTTTGTTACTATTATGTATCGTGCATATAATACTAGCGATTGTGCGATTATAGTTATCGATTCAAGGTCGGATAAAAGTAGCGCGCGATTCGTGTAATGCTTTTTACTGATCGAGACAGAGATGCAACGACGAAGGGGAAAAAAAGAAGTAAGAAAGCGGCGAGACTCGAAACATTTTCTCACCGCCCGTTCTTTCCTGTTGTATCATAGTTGTGCTTCGTCAGCTCGGTATATTTATACCCACGTAGAATTCTGATTTTCTTATATACGTAGGTCTCCGCTACGTTCTCATCTTCGAAGCTGCCAAATATCAGTATTATATATCGGTGTCCCTTGCGAAAATCACCTTACGTATATATACTTAGCAGTGCGATGCGCATGGTGCAAGCAGACGCGTCGACGTCGACGTCGTCGTCGTCGTGTGGAAGTTTGACGAAATTCATGTAAATTTTCTAGCGCTAGTATAACTCGCTCCCAGTTGTTTCGCTCTGATTAGCTACGATCTCATTATTATCATTCTCATCGTTCTTTTATACGCGCCACCACTCCTTTATCTTTTCGTCGTTATTATTGTATTCTCATATGTTATGTTCTAATTTACCATCGCGTTCAAGGTGTCCGTCCATGAGAGATTATCTGAACCGATATCAGAAATCGAGGGAAACGTTTCTTTTCACAGTCATTTTCGTGGACGTACATCTTGGACATAACCATTTTCTTTCGTAGATAAATATGAAATTTTTATTTTATTACAACCTGGCACGTTTTGTCACACGACTCGGGTTTCGTGGAATTCCATCGAATTTCACGAGCCAGAAGAAAATAGATACGAGAAATGAGGCGCGGCTTCGAGTTGAGATCATCGTTTGGTATTTCATAGAAGAAAAAGGAGAATATAAATGTGATCCATGTGGCAAGACGTGCCCGGCGGTTTGCTTGTTTGTCTCTGACTTAATTTCGCAGTTGTTCTCGCGCATCACTGAACGATCTTTCATTTCCGTTAACGTGTGGGCCCTTCGACCCTGTCGTAGAGCGAGGAGGTCGCAGCGAACACTCTGACGATGTTAGACCATCAAGGCGGTAAGCAGTTCCCTCAGCAATAAACAAAACAACAGAAAAAAGAATTTTAAGAAAAGTAAATTATCTTCTTGAAAAATGAGTCGAGAATATTAAAAAAAGAAAAGAAAGGCGAGAGCAAAGTGACGAGAAATGAAAGGAAACGGAACATTGAAAAAAGGAACAAAAAAGTTATAGAATACGGACGAACAAAGTTTTTTTTTACTTTATTCGATTTCGAATGGTTAGATAATTTCTTTCTCTTTTTTTTTTTATTTTTGTTTGCTTCAAAGAGAACAGAAGAAAGTAAAAAGAAAAGACAGATCTTTTCGTACACTCTCCACGGTTGACGGGATTAGATCGTTAAAATAGGACACACTTTGACACGTATTTACGCGTACCATTCGGCGGTGTTCGTTTTTTAATGTCAAAAATTCGCGACTATGAGTCCTGTCGGTTCACAGGTTATTTTAATTTCCCTGGCAAACGTGCCCGTGTTCTTCGATAAGGGAACAACACTCGAGTTTCGTTAAAAATTACGTGGTTTCGATTTCTGATCTACTAAAAGAAAAAGAATCGCTGGAAGTGAAGTAGCTTTTTGAAAATCGTCCGAAGACTGAACCGGATATCGACAGATTAACACAACGACTACATATAACGACTAAAGAAGTGTATTTCCGCCTGTCTGTTCGGGAACTGAACGCGCGTTTTATTCTCTGGTTCTGATCTCTTTCTCTGTCCTTTAGCTAAAACAATCTTCTAATTCTGTATCTTACAGCGCCACGGTACTCTGAGTGCCTACACTGGAAACGAAGCGTGTCTTTTTCTTCCTTTAATCTGCTTCTACGCCTTTGTCTGCTCCTATTTAACATTCGACTTCTCGCATCATCGCCACCGCGCCACTCGCCCTTAATTCGATTCGGTTCATCGATTAAATCCATTTTGTTCTCCCTCATCCTCGTTCATCCCCTCACTGTTACTCTATCGTAGACTCGATTATCCAGCTCCTCGACGAGACTTTAAGCCACTCACTCCATAATAACAGAAATATATAGTAGAGCGTGTAACCACGTTTCGCCGTTAGATAATGCTATTAATAATTTTTAACTGGCTAATCTTTGCTCTTGGAAATTTCACAGATCGACGTGCAATTTAATAAATTCCCCAAAAATCCAATCTAGAATTCTTCGATCCCCGGGAAACGTTGGATTTACCAACCGTTCGATCGACGATCATATTTAAGAATCGTCGGCCCTCTTAGCTTCTTCGCTTCGTCGATCGAATCGATGAAAAATTCATTCTTTGGTTCGTTATCTCATTTTTCAGCGAGCGTTTTCCAGTTCTCGAGAATACTTTGGCTGTTTCGCTCCGTGCATTGTAGTACACGAAGCAGAGGAGCGATCAGAGGAGGACGATGTCTGTTCCGCGTTAGACGCTCGACAAGTTTCCCATTCCGCGGTGGAGCCAATTATTTTTCAAGACGCTTCACCACGCGTCTCTCTCTCTCTCTCTCTCTCTCTTTCTCTCTCCTTCTGGCTCTCTCTATTCATCCAACATTATGTTCCGTGTCGCCGTTTCGCAGTTGGTAAATCCAACTTCACATCGATTCTACTCGCTATTACGAGTGCAAAAAGATCCTAGTCCTCCAGCAGCCTGACCCGCAATAGAATTAATAATCAGGATAAAATATCGTCGTACGCGCCCTCTCGCTCCTCCGATATATCATCAAGATATGATGGACGAAAAAGTGTAATTGCTATCCACGATGAATCTGACTTTCTCGGCTCTACCAAGAGATCGAAATCCAATGAGAACGAAAAGAATGAAAAAGAAAGGAACAGACAGCGAAGGAAAGGAAAACACAAAGGAAAAGATGGACACAGATGGTGGTTGTCAATTTATGTTACAGTGTTACGTAGTCAGATAGAATGGAAAGACGGAAAGTAGTGCGAAGAGCTTTGAGTTAGTTTAGTTCGATCAGTTTGTTAACCCGTAGTTTGCCCGTCCTTTTTTCTCTAGAGCGTCCCTCTAGGTAAAGAGGGTTTTGTGGACACAGGGTGAGTCCGATTCCTCGTTGATTAGCGTCCGAAGTAAAGAAGTTTAAGGGTCAACTGTCGCGTCTCTGTTTGGCCCGTGGTTCAGTCACGGGACGAAGGAGACACAGCTAGAAAAATGTTTTCTCGTGGAGCGAAGCGAGGGAGCGTTTCGACGGTGCTTCCTGTACCTCACGTTTAACAAGCCGCTGATTGGTCGGTTGCCTGTTTAGAGCCACGAGGTCGGGATGAAAACCCTCGTAATGCTGGACGAGCAAGGCGGTAAGCCATTTCAATCTAGACATACAAACATTAAACTTACGTAAACCGTCTCTTACAAAAAAGATATATATTTATCTGGTCTCGACTGACACAAAAGCCAACGATCGACGACCATATATATTCTATATGTATTCTATTATATGTTCTCCATACGTTCTCCACCCGCCGATGTATATAATATTTATATATAGTCATTATATGTATATAGTTATTATATATAGATATTATATATATATATATATATATATGCATATACGACACTAATTGCGTGTAATAATCGTCCAGACACTAATGCAACCCTGTGTACGTCGGAATTAAATTTCGATCGAACGGCTGATACTAACCAAAATGCACCAAAAGACAACAGATTCGTTCTTTCGACATCTCTTCACATTCCTTCAACGTTCAGATCGTTTACGTTCGAACAATCATCAATTACTTTTCTCCCCTTGTTCTTACGTTTCTATTGTCCTGAATATTGCATCTTGTTTGATACCTTGATTATCTATCGCCTATGACCATAATATTTCCTTCCAGTTGCATTCACGATTCTCTCTCCTCGATCTTCCTCGCTCTTGTTTCTTTCGATCATCGCTCTGCTCTCTTCCATCGCCTTATCCTATATATTTCTCTTATTTCTAGTACTTCCTCTGCCACTCTATCTTTCTCTTTCTCTCTGCGTCCTATCGTTCTCTCCGCCTGCTTCCTCCTATTCTTATCTTCGCTTCCTTCCGTGAACGTAATCTCACGAAGGCGAACGAACAAAAACAGAGAAATACAGAAACAAAACAAGTAGACGAACAAACAAACCCAAGTAAAAGAAAACAAATATTAAAAGTAAAAAAAGAAAAAGAATACGCGCTCCACGTTTTAAACGCATCCCTCCGGTACTTCCGGCACGGTGTAAGTCAAAGCCTATTAAATCTACTATTGTATTTGTTGACCGGCACATTTGCATCAGCGCGTTACTCTTCGTGAATATATTTGGTTCAATTCGTACCCAGTACCCTTAGAATCCACCGTACACCCCAGTACATACAGAATTACTCACCCGATCTTAGGATCTTAGGTTACCCTTAGTAGGGAGACTCTTTGCTTAGCTGTTGCACTTTCGTTGCACTCGTTTTTTTTCTTTTCCGAGGATCCTTCGTCGAGAGAAAGATTCGTTTACTACATTTTTAACAAATAAATCTGCCAATTATCATCGCAAATATTTTTGTAATGTATTTTTTTTCTTTGTTTGGGCGTAGAACTTTGCATTGTATTGTAGTTCGAATTCTATAGTTACGCTAAATCTTAATATAGTGGAGTCTCTCGATGAATCCTCGTAGAGTATTATGAAACCACCAATCGTCATTTAATATAAGGGAATAGTGCGTTAAATATTTTGGAACTAATTTAACCTTTAATTCGTTTAAGGATAATTTAACGTTATCTGAGAAAGAATTGAACAAATAGTGCTCTATTTCCTGATCGTTTAAAAAATGACGATTCACTTCAATTTTTGAGGAAGTATTCCGATCCTCGAAAGAGAATAGGACAGCGTGTCCCCTTTCCTTATTTTTCATTTCTCGAGTATCCAATTTTTAGCAAACGAATTTCTGTTTGGTTATTTACAAGCGAGATGTAGAGGTACAGCGACTAACGCGATTTTTATTTTTACGTCGGCTGTCTGCTCTCTTTCGGGACGCTACGTTAAAGATGCGATAGGAAAGATGTTAACAATGTTCTCTCGTACAATGAAACAGAGCAACTGGACAGAATCGAGGAGGGTATGGACCAAATCAACGCCGACATGCGCGAGGCCGAGAAAAATCTCACTGGAATGGAAAAGTGCTGCGGTCTCTGCGTTCTCCCATGCAACAAGTAGGGCTGTCCCGAATCGTTTTACGCTTCTTACCCTTTCAAATCTTATCTTCTACTTTACAGCGCACTCTCTAATCGAGAAATTCTATCCTCGATATTTAACGCTTCGTTTCTACCTCTATTTCGTAAAGAAACTAAAGATCAAAATTTACCCTGTGTAACTAAGCTGTGAAGTCAATTCTTATGGAACAAAAATTTCTGTCGACTCTGCAAATCTTGAAATACCTTCGGAATTTTAAGAAGAAGCGAAAAATGTTTGAAGCAAAATACGAAAGATATTTCTTTATTCGATGTATCTTGTTCCTTTGAATTATCTATGTATAACAGAGATTTGCTAATGGAACGTTCATCTTTCACAGAGGCGCCAGCTTCAAGGAAGATGAAGGCACGTGGAAGGGAAACGATGACGGCAAGGTAGTTAACAACCAGCCTCAACGGGTGATGGACGATCGCAATGGACTTGGTCCTCAAGGCGGCTACATCGCCAAGATTACAAACGATGCCCGTGAAGGAGAGATGGAAGAGAATATGGGTCAGGTGAACACAATGATCGGTAATTTGAGAAACATGGCGATCGACATGGGCAGCGAACTGGAGAATCAGAATCGGCAAATCGACAGGATTAATCGCAAGGTGAGGAGACGATTCGCCAGTCGACGAGTTCAAAGATTTGAGTTCAGAAAAATCACCGAATCGTCCACCTTCAGACTTCCCTCTATCCGTCTCATTTCGAGTTATTTATATCTTAACCTACCATGATTTAACATGATCATATTCGATATACGATTCTCTTATAAAGTGACTATTATAATGGTTACATATTAACTAAGTAGACTCAAGTATATGAAATTTTCTATCGCATAATGGTAAAAAACTTTGATATTATGAAGATGAAAAGAAAACCCGATAAAAGAACGCTTCGTTGGAAGATAAGGGCATGTGTCATTATGTTTCTGCAATATCGTGCTTTGTAGTCGCATAATTTAATAATAAAATTATTGTTCAATTTATTAAACGATATTAGAACGAGGAAGGTCTGAAGTAGTGGAACGTGTTGTTGATTGAAATGATGATTGAAAACACGTACGATTAGCTCCGCTATATTTTTCTCTCCACGGAGCATGCGTGGATTATTTATCTCACGATGCACGCGCTCAGAGCGATGCACAACACGTTCGTTGTCGCTTTCGCTTTCTTACATACCCTTCGATCTACCTAGCCGTCCATGTTTCCCTTCGTTCCTGGCGCGTTCCCAAAAGTCGGGTCGACGTTTCACGTGTCCTTGGGAATTTCGTTTCGTTCTGACACGTCCTACATGTACAGTGCTCGTGCCAGATCTTGTTTTCCGCTGAAATCGAATTACTGGAACGAAAAACTGGCGCACGGTAGATTTCAGGTGAAAAGATAACGCGAAAGATTTTAGCGTGCAACATTGTATTCTGTATAAAGACGGGACGATTCATGAGAAGTCGGCTTCGTGTAAGAATTCGTGGTTTCTTTGACGATATTGTCCGATTGCAAGACTTCTGGCCGCCGACGATGGGCAACGTGTCGTACGAGTATACGCTCTACTTGGTAGCATTGTTGTTCCCTTTTCCTCGTACATGCATCCTTCAGCCCCGAGTCATTGTTCCTCAACATAGAAGAAGACTTCTAAGTCGGGATTATCTCACCTTTCAGGAGAACGTACTGGATAGAACGTTCTCTCTTCTTCTATATATACTTTTATAAATCCTACACATTATTTTTGTATTCGCACGGAAATTCTATTTACCGAAGACGAAACGATTGTTGTTGAAAGAGAGGGAGGAAGAGAGAGAGAGAGAGAGAAAGAGATTGCACTACAGGAACCGATTAAAACGAAATACGATACGCGTCGTTATTTAAAATAGTAGATAAACGATCGTTTCGTTTTCGCGTTGGCATGCGTACGCACGTGCACCGCACGACTAGCCATTCCTTTAATTATCCCCTTCTTCGTCATCGCACCACCGGCGTCATTCGACATTTTGCCACCCTCACGGGCTGTCTTTTGTGTTCGGCAATATTGCAAATCATAAATCCAAAAAGAAACAATGGAAAAAAAATAAAAAGAGAGAGCATATGTTAGAGTATATAAGAAACGAGTAATGTATAAAACGAGACGAGAAAAGAAATGCAAGAATAAAAGAAACAAATTGAAAATTACATTGCACCAAATATTAGCTATCGGCCGATCCTGACCGTGTCTCACACGCTTTGTTGGCCCTTTTTTCTGTCTTTCTCTATTTTTGTCTTTTCTTTCTCTGTTTCTTCTTGCCTTACGTTCAATTGATGATTCTCTTATTTTATACCACCTGTGACCAAATCCAAACTATGATAATCCGCAGGGCGAGTCAAACGAAACGAGGATAGCCGTGGCGAATCAGCGTGCGCACGCTCTACTCAAGTAAAATGCGTCACTCTGCCCACGTACCCGTCTCCTCCGAGCCCTAAATAGTCAAACAATAAATGAATATATATATATATACATATACGTATATATATACACACACATATATATATATATAATATGTATATCAGCTCCAAAATATTGTACGCTCACACGCCCACGACCCTTTCTTCTGCCTTCTCGTCGTCGGTCGGACACCGCCAACCCGTCAACCCAACTCGATCCACCTGTTTGTGCTACAACGAAATCATCGAGCCTTCCGGTTACATCGATTTATATATTACGTGTGCAATCTCCTATTATTATACACGTCGTTTAGTTCTTACACCCCTTGTAACCGTGTTATCTTTTTTACCGCTCTTCTTGTTGTGTCCAGCTCGTTTTTTTACTCTGGTTTCACCGATATGATTATACCGTATGTAGTATATTATACATATACATACGTATATATCTATATACACGCGCTTATATTAACGTCTAATCTTTTTGGAATCTTATTTGTCGGATGAAACCCCGCAGTATCGTCGCCGCGTTCGTCGTTGTCGTGACGACTATGCACGAGTTTTGTTTCTTTCTTATCGCTGCTGTATTCCTTTCGATTCGATTGAATATTCAATCTGGCACTTCTCGCGTTCGATCAAAGAATCCGCGGCATCGTCTAGATTACTGCATCGATTCTGCCAATCGGGCAGAATTTAAATCAGAATGGAAATCGGCCGCAGCAGCGATCGGGCTCAAGTACGAAGTAGTACGAGTCAACGATGACGACGAACGACGAGGCGAGAGAATAAAAAGCGCAGAATAATCGAAGTTAAACGAGGTCGACGATTACATGATCTTGATACACGCTTAAGTTTGAGTTACGATCTTCCGTTTGTTTGTTTTTTTGGTACGCAGGGCGAATCGAACGAGACGAGGATAAAGGTGGCCAACGAGCGAGCCCATCAGCTACTCAAGTAAGGCCACTCTCGACCACTTGCACCCCGTCGGCCACCAACAGCAACAAATACTACCATCACCACTATCACAACCACAACTACACTATTACTGACAACAACAACAACAACAACAACAACAGTAACACTAGCAACTACAACAAAAGACCAGGGCTATCAGCTACAGATACACACGATCAGTTGTTACTCTCAGTTAATCGTGTTCATGTACTTGCAATTTATTTATTACGATTTTCTTATATCTCGAATCACCGTGAAACTTTATTACAGACGAGTTGACAAATAGACGATCGAAAGAACGAAATGCAACTTCTATATCACATATGTTCTTTTTTCCGTCCTACGTTCGAATCTTTTACGTTCTTCGTTCTGTTCGATTTATAGTGTATATTTGTAGACAGTGAACGCGTACGTTATAGAAAACGCCCAAGAGAGAATCGTTCTCATCGGTTTTCGTACGTATTTACTCGCAGTTAGTCTATTTATTGTTGTTCGTGCAACGCATCGAAAGAGTTATTGCGTTCTGGGAAATAAATTGTACCATCTTACCCTGTTGTGCACTTTATTTTCGGCGAACGTTAGAAGTAAATTCTATTTGAATATATTACTTGTATCTTTATTGCCGTCGTTAGTATATCATCCAAGTAGCTCCATTCTCTAGCGACTATACCTTTTTTTTTATTGTGAATCTTTGATTCCTCCTTTCGGTCAACTATCTTCGAATGGTCCTTCAGCGAATCTGCTCGGGCGTACTTACGAACATCATCTTTAACCCTTAAGAGAGCAAATTTTCATCTTTAAGACATAGAAATATTTAGGAGGAAAGTAGAAGAGAAAAAAAAAAGTTAGTTTATTTACGAATAATGTTTACATGTAACGAAGATGTCGACGCAACGTCGTCAAGTCAATTCAGTGATCCGATAGAGTTTTTTAAAAGACGAGCCAGATGTTTACAAGGAAAATGATAAGAAAGGGAGAAAGTAGAGAGCAAATGATGAAAAAGAGGATACAAAAGTCTAAAGATTTTTTCGTCTTAATTGCACGTTTATCCAAGTTCTTCCTCTCGTGATATAGCGTTTACACTTTTAACGATTTATCTAAAAAGTTTCTAAAATAAGAAGAGTTATTAACAGAGAAAATACAAAAATAAGAATACAGAATACAACAAATACTAGAGATCCATTAGTTAAAAAAAAAAAAAAAAGGAAATAACGAATCGCAAGTATCGCGCGCCTGTTTAAGGGTTAAAGATTACCCACAGTTAACGAAAATAAAAGCATATACACAGGAAACGACAATGTCAGTTGGACGGGAGCGCACACACGCTGTAGTTCTCTGCATCGTTACACACACACACACGCGCAAAATCCAAACGACCCTGTATACATACATACACATATATAGATACACATACATGTAGCCATGTTCAGGTATACAGAGAAAAATCTGGAATACAGCCACATACAGCGAACAATACAAAAGAGAAAAGGGAGAGTAGTATAGATCACACAGCGTGTGGGAGTGCACATGTGAACGATACATACGCACAGCGAGCCCTCTTTAGGTAATACATACCATGTAATTTGTTATCACGATTAGCGTTACGACCAAAATATCCGTGTACAGTAGATCGATACGTAGATAGACATCAGAGATGCGTGTGTATGTGTGTATGTGTGTGTGTGTGTGTGTGTGTGTGTCAGAGCACACGCGCGTGTCGCGCGGTAATTCCAAGCAGTAGTAGGTCGTAGCAAGCGTGCTAGCCGAGGAGCAGCCTCGAGACATATATGTATGATGTACGAGATTACCATGTTTGAAAACGCGAATGTATATCGAATGGATCAAGGGAGCTTACCCGTAAATGGCAAATAATATTAGGTTCCTCCCGAAAGTGGTCGTTACTCGCTTACCTTTTTCTCGATACATACGCTCTACGTCGAACATCGTGCGATCAACGAAATATCTCGCTTCCCGAGAGAACACGAGAAACCGGAGGGGATCACGACAGACGGGGCGAGGTAAAAAGCGGAGGAGGACGTTTAGCGCGGCAGCAAGTCGATGTTTACGAAGAAGAAAAGGGAGAGGAGAGAGCGTAGTGGTTCCTCCCGTGTGTAGAGTAGGAGGAAGGGAGGAGAAAAATATAAGAGCAAAATGATGGGAAAGGTACGAGAGTGAGGGAGAGGTGGAGATAAAAATGGAAGAAGAATTTGATAAACCAATGCAACGAAGTGGATGTCGTAACGAGAAAGTCCGGAAGAAAGAAAGAGGGAAACGGAATGAGAAAGCGAGAGGGGAGAAAAGAAAGGAAGGAGGTGTTAAATGTGTAGATAGAATTTTGTTCATCGTTTTATCTGTCGACTCACCATAGAGCGTAGATCGATTCCGTTTCTTGCGGTCCCGCGCACGCTCAACGCGCCGGGTTTGTCACTGTAAGGTTTAACTCCAAGTGAAAGAAATCACGAATGCGATAGAGAGAGCAAGAAGAATACGACAAAAGATTTAAACAAAGATTGTACATTATTATATTTACACGAAGCGAAGTACCTCTACTTTGTACTATAGCGAGCGAAAGAACGAATGAACGAATAATCCATTGTACGTCGTGTCATCACGGCGCCCTGGGATTCTCCTGGTTACGTTTCTGTTTCGCGGTCTGCGAGTATCCACATTCCAGCATTTATCTCTTATTCAGAATCTTTATCTTATTGAACCGTGATCGTTGTTTACGCGGAATAAGTTTGCGATCGTTCTGACAATGAGTCGATATCTTTTCTTTCATTTCTCTTTGCTAGAGGACTGCAAATTTGCAAATACGTAGAAGTAGCGTACTACTATATAATAATTTGTAACTTGAAATAGAGATAGACATGACGTGGTTACCGCGGATTAGATCCAACGCTGCAGACAAGGGATGTTTCTCGAAGCAGCTGTCAGCCTTAACAGTATTCGCATCTTTACACTTACCTCTTTAGCTTTAAGAGAATGCATAGAGACAGAGAGCAGAGATGCTGTCAGCGCTGACGTGATCCCTCAAATCAGTAGCATCAAAATTAGTCCGTAGAAAAGAGAGAGCGAGCGAGAGAGAGAGAGAAAGAAGGTGAACAAACAATAAGTATGAGGAGATTTTGTCGCGTAGAGATTTTTTTATGTAGACCACATTTGGCAAAGAGAAAAAGAAAATACGTGTACGCCGCATTTAGCATATCGTCGATAAGCATGAAATGATTTCGATACACGTATTACTTATTATACATTCATGTAAACTTTATTTTGGATTTAACGAATTAACCATATATATATATATATATATATATATATATATATATATATATATATATATATATATATATATATATATATATATATATATATATATATATATATATATATATATATATATATATATATATATATATATATATATATATATATATATATATATATATATATATATATATATATATATATATATATATATATATATATATATATATATATATATATATATATATATATATATATATATATATATATATATATATATATATATATATATATATATATATATATATATATATATATATATATATATATATATATATATATATATATATATATATATATATATATATATATATATATATATATATATATATATATATATATATATATATATATATATATATATATATATATATATATATATATATATATATATATATATATATATATATATATATATATATATATATATATATATATATATATATATATATATATATATATATATATATATAAAACGATATTGTATAAATATTGTAAAGGGTATCGCCGTCGAGTCGCGCGTTGTATTAAGAATGGAGCACAAAAAGAAGGAAGGGGATATATTACGAGTAATTCCTTTCGATTTCGCTTGTTTGTTTGCTTTTCTCATTAACGTAGTAATGCAGTTATGATCGGTGGCTTGCAAAAATTCTTGGACGCTTCGCCGGACGAACGTACTAAGAGGAATAAAAGAGAGAATGTTAAGGGAAATTTGGTGAACGAAGGAACAGAGCAAATGGATGTATGAGAGGGAGAGAGAGGAAGTAATATTAGAGAGCAAGTGTGTGATATTTGATGATGATAATGATTATGATTGTTACTCGAGATCGTTAGGCCTATCGTAATTATTTACTTTGTCAGAGGAAAGATATACGAACGATTATAAATAGGTATAAATATATATATATATATATAGATTATATATATATATATATATATAAATATAAATACGATACAAACATATTACATGCATATATTTACGGAACGAGCGCGGTGAGCCCCCTTCTTATGTAGACGTCTAAAATAGAGAAAAAAAAAAACGAAAAAAACGAGAGGAAAAAGAGAGCGAAAGAATCTACTTTATTTGCGAGCGGATAATGTTGTTATATTATCATAAATATTATATATATATTATACAATACGGAATCGAGCAATATTGTATTGTTACTTCGTCGTTAACATTTATCACCGCCTATTCGAAGAATTATATTATGTACCTATTTTACAAAATAATCCCTCGTATCTGAAACGAGTAACTCATATCGAACCTGTTATAGGTCTATGTGGTACGCGTAATTTTAAATATTCACAGAATTGTATAGAACACGCAGATTTAAGTAGATAGACGCGTAGATAGGTCAAAATAGACGAAGTAGCCTGCGGAAAAGGGAAATGGTTTACGGTGTGAATGAGAGATCGAGTGAACGAGATGAAATTATAAACCGATTAATTGAACAGCAGTTTTCTTATAAAATGGAAAACTGTGAGAGCAGCGACCACAAAACAAAAAAAAAAAAAAAGAAAAAAGAAGAAGAGACGGAGAGAGGCGAAAGCTCGCGAAAGATCGTGTGCAACCGATTCGAAGATTCGCTGTTGATGCATTGTTCTATTTGGTTGACGTATTCGTAAAGTTTACGGTGGTTGCGTGCAATTTTTCTCGAGTCGATCTTTAAGAAAGGAGAAGTTTCGTGCGAAACTCGTCGTTCGAAATTTATCTTTCGACTGTCTCCTGACGAAGTTATTGCGGTATAGAGCGGTATTGTAAAGCGAAACAATGAGAACTGCGTGCACCGACGTCTAACGTTTGCAATAACAAGAGTACGATCGCGATTATTAACACAAATTGGGACCACCGTGCAAAAGTGCAAGGTGCCGAGATGAAAACGACTACGGCGCGACGAGTACCACAAAGCTCGACGCTGTTAATTTCTTTTGTTTTTCGACTACGACGAACGTCGAACACCTCGTCGTTGCCGGCCGCTTTCCGATTCTTCGAAGCGACGATAAAAACGAGACGAGAAATCGCGAATATTCAGTAGAGTAAACCACGAAGCCTGACAAAGAAGTTAGAACAAACGTAAAAAAGAAAAAATACTGAAAAATAATGAAAAAAAAAAGAAAAACATAAGGATGGCGAAAGATAGAGGGAAAGTACGCGAACATTGTAAAGTATTTGGTAAACAGACAAATTGATGAAAAAATCAGCTTTTCTCTTTTTAGTACTGATGTATTGTCGCTAGATGTATTACAGAAACGTAAGAAGTATTCTTCGGCAGTACTATTATAACAAATGCCTATGTATTTTACTTCTCGGCAAATAAACCATCAAGTATTGTATGACTGCTGTTTCTTCTACCTTGGATTCTCATCTTCAGTGACACTGCCAGGTATCGTTTTTCTATTCTCTATTCTTTTCTACTTATATTTACATTTTTACATCCAACTCGCTTCCAATCATGATCATTACTGATTACTACGGCAACAGTTTACAGAGAATCAGTTGAAGAATCGAGTTATCTACGTTGGACGGATTTAGAAACGGGAGTAGATCGATTCCAAGACGCGTAATCTCCTCTTAGAAACTCCCTATGCCGCGAGAACGTGGCGCGAGCTTTTCTTCGAGCTGAAGCAGAAAATGTTCGAGCATCCTTACGAACTTCGACGAGAGATTCGCGAGAAGAAGAGCTGGGGCTTTGCGCGACTGGACGATTGCAAATGCTGCATTGGCGTTGTTCTCGCGGTAATGCCTTTGTTTCACAAATTCTCTCTGAATTTCTGGTCCATTTGATCGGATTTGGCGAAGAAAGTGGAGGTAGAGGCGGAGGCGGAGGTGGAGGTGGAGGAGGAAGAGAAAGAGGTGGAGGTGGAAGTGGAGGAAGAAGTGAAAGAGGTGGAGATGATGGAAGAGGAGGAACGGACAATTGTATCGGATGTGGTTGAAAAATTGATCTTGTGTGGAGCTCGAAATCTGCCAGTAAACGATAAGAAGGAGGAACATTTTTGCTTCGTATCCTAGCTAGAATATTGCTTCTTCTGATTTCTAGTTTCATCCGACTTTTGGGACTATAAAGTTTTGTCGATCCATTTCGAGCTCTAATGGCCTCTCTTCTAGCCAGAGTGTGCTGAAGAGTACCACGGAATCTATTGTAAACGTCCGTTGAACTTAGCCTTGTACGAACTTCGCTTCTTGAACAATCGTATCTCAAATTGCTACTCGAAATATCTGCTCCTCCGCTTTCCCTATGCTGAGTGCCTCTATCAATACGTTCCCAGATTTGACCAAATTTTTCTAATACTTTTATGCGTCTGCCAGAGTTCTGATTTGTAATTACGTTTTGTATCGATGGTACATTAACTTTTGTTATATTGGAGGACTTTGAAGGCACGATTTCGGAAAGAAGTTGATCTTCCTCTTCGTCTTCTACATCAAGATTTAGTACAAAAGGAGGTA